CAGGTGACCACGGACCTCCTGTGCGTGTTGCACATGGACCTCAAGGCGATCTACGGCGACGCGGACAACATCGTCGTCTGCGACGTCTTACTCTCACGCGCTCTTCGACCCCGCGATGGTCGCATACTCGCGGCGCCTCTTCGCGCGGGCACCGCTGCAGGGTACGCTTGTGTGCTCGACGGCGTCCGCGGTGCCTTGCTCGCTCAAGATCTCGGGCTCAATCAGCTTGCCTATCATCAAGGCTTGTGATACCATCAGCCTTCCTATTGGGCTTGTGGGAGCGCCCTCTTCAAATACAATTACGACGGAGAGTCTAAAACCGCTGAGTCATGTTCCCTAGTTAGTGGTCTCCCCCATCTAAGGCCCTTGGAATGGAGACTCACATTTGTCTCGAATCACAATGAGAATCATCTGACCATCAGGATGCCAGTCACAAGTCCACAGTGCTCCAGGGCAAGAGGCCATATATTGGAGCCGAAGAAACTGGACTCTATCCATCGTGTAGTCCGGAGTAATTTAGAGTCTGATGAACTGCAGATAAATGCGTAATACAGGGGATGATAAGAGATGCTCCAGGTTCGCCGTGCTCCGGATATAGTTACACGAGCGGAAAGGTCCCTGCTTGTCCTTTCAATCCACTAACATGCAGGCACCATTGGACGACTAGACTGAACCAAGCCTGGAAGTGGGTGGAGACTCTACGTGCCCCTATGACCTGAGCTCTCACAGGTAATGTAGTCTCCATCGTGTGTTCTGTATTGCAAATTCCCGAATGGTGATTGAACTTCACGTAAAGTTTAAAAGCCTTTCGTGCAGACTCACATTTTCGCAGCATCTTCGCCCAACTGACTGCTGCATTTCTCTCAAACGAGAGCAACCTCCTCTATTCTACTTGTGACCATGTTCTTGAAGCTAGCTACCGCCATTGTTGCTGCTGCCATGGTACTCAGGGGAGTCCGTACTGAGACGCACACCGTGAGTTTCACAAACAAGTAATTTTTCCAATTGTTATGCTGTGCATACATTTGCTAATTATCATTTTCTCACAGCTGTGGATTTGGGACCGTATGTGCTGTCTACACAATCGTTTAGATTAATAATGAATCTTATCTTACACGCAGCCATATTTATGGGGTCCCGATGGTGTACTGCTCTCTACGGGTGATGACTACACTACCAACGGCCCCGCCCCTGGGTTGATTGCGTGAGTGATTCAGAGACATCTATCAGTTCCTTTGCATTGAAATCACCATAACTAGCTATCTCCAGTGTGGTCAGTTTCTGCGAAAAGGTGTTGGTATTGCATGTGTGTAATTTATTCACGTAGATGATCGCTGCGGAAACAACGGCGAAGGTTGCACTACTGTTGACGCAACTCTCACTAATGAAGGCAACAGTGTAGTTGAGATCTTGAACAACTCCCTGTCAGTTTCTCGCTCTGCTACCCACTGCAACAGGGGCTGATATTTTCTTCCGATAGGAATTCGGTGACCACTAGCATTGAGTGAGTGCACCAGCTCCATAATTGCTACTCAGAGGTAACTCAGGAAAACCACAGGTTTTGCAATTGTTGTGCACCCGCTGGTGCAAGCTGTCAGTTACATTTCTCAAAGTCTATTAACGTAGTATTAACAGCGCCATTTTAGGCACATACTACGATGAGTGCCCTGTCGATCCGTTCTACCCCATCAACGACACAAACGTATCTATCAGCTGCACCATTCCAAATGTAAGCTCTTCCTTCAATCGAGATTTTTTTTCCCGCAGTGGCTGCGACTGACAGATCGACGTTCTTATTCCAGGCCGATCTAGCAATCATGTTCTGCGACTGATATAAGGAAATTGGGTAAGTTCTCAGGTATAAAGATTATCTGTGCTTAGTACTCGGAATTAGAAACGAAGTTTCCATTCCGCTTGTTCATTCTTCGTTTGTGATGTTGAAAGCTTGTAAATCAGTGTGCTATTCGAATTCGAACTTGCGTTCAAGCAGTGGGGTTCTTGACGACTTCAAGTTCCCCTATTTGGATGGCACACTCGACACTCGGTCATACTGCAATAGTCGACTGAATCTTGCTCAGCTGTGGGGTCGGGACTTTCTCAAGCAATGACCCTCATTTCCTGTCCCATCTAGTTCCTCCTATTTTGGTGCATCGCCAATGGTCGCCGTCAATGGCATTCCCATGACTCCTTACTCTCCTATTTCGCCTGAAGCCGACGCAGAAACGACAGCGGTCTTGGCCCGGCATCGGTATCGTGCTCTGCTGAAGCTGAATGAGAAGCGGTCCTGGGTCACCTTTGTGCTACTCGTTTTTCTTGCATTTGCTATTTTCTCAGTTGTTGGTGCCGTGATAGGCTCGGCAGTGATAAGCTATGTTCTCGCGGTTCCGTTCAAAGTGGGAGATTTTAATATGTTCACGTCGGTACCCCCAATAGATCCCACACAATACGGTCTGATTCTCTTCCAGACGGATCGCGTTTCTTGGAGGGTATTGCAGACTTTGGTAGGACTCCTTGGGTATGTCTTTGATACTCTGAGACATACGTTTGCTTACGTATCTCTTAGTTTATGGCCTTCCATCGTTGACATTATCTGCCAGTGAATTCCGCGCTTAATTCCCTCGATGTCCCGAACGTCTCGTATACCTTCCAGTGCGTGATACCTCAATATTATTACCATTCGAAGTTCTATCTATCATGGCTGTATTGCGTACGCTCACGATCCAGCAGTCTATATTCGTGCATAGGTATAACACACGCGCTCCGCAGACTACATTGAGTTCACTCGGAAACGAAGCAGCCAGAAGTAGCGAAGATTACAGCTGCGGCTTGAACCACTTTAGTTGTAAAGCCACTAGCACTACAGGCACCACACTGACAATCTCCCCCAGTCCGGCATAAGCAGGTGCAATCCTTGCATGAACAAATGCACCGGCTGCGAAGAGAATTGCTACGAGATTGTAGATAGCGGACCATGCGAAATTTAGCAGTATTCTCCGAGAGACCGCCTCGGACAGTTCCAAGAGCGTCAGGATGCCCATAAGCGAAGGATGGGTCAAAACAACGTCCGCGGCCGTGGATGCAGCAAAGCCAGCGCCTTCTCCAGTATGTAAGTGCACACCGATATCCGCCTGTGCCAACGCGATAGCATCGTTTGCGCCATCCCCGCAGAAGAGGACTACTTCATTTCTGGTAGCCAATTCCTTGATGTACCTCTGTTTATCTGCGGGCATGCAGGCCGCCTTCGCGTTCTCCATAGGAATGCCCAAGGCCACTGCAATCGTCTCCACTGCGGCTGGGTGGTCGCCACTAAAGATGGAGACCGCAATGCCGCGCTTCTTGAGGTTGTCGACAACAAAGAGAGATTCTGGGCGTAAAGCGTCCCCGAGACCGAAAACTGCAAGAAGTTGGTCACCGAATGCGACACAAAAAGTCGTGAGGCCCTTTGACAGAAGCGGTTGAACCATGGGATGGTTCTCGACTTCAATCCAGCGAGCACTACCACCGCGAATAATCCTGTCAGCGATAGTGCCTTGTATTCCTTGACCTGTCATCATCTTCACATCGCTGACCTGAGTTGTGCCAGCTGCTTTCTCCACCGACGTTAGATGGTCTGCCACAGCACGTGCAACAGGGTGCCTGCTGGACTTGACCAGATCATAGATAGCAGAATGTACGTCGACGTCTGGCAGATTATGAATGTCGCTAGAAATAACTACGAGATGCCCCTGTGTGAGCGTGCCAGTCTTATCGAAGACAACATGAGAGACATTGCGTGCAGACTCGATAGTTGTTGCAGCCTTGAATACCAGCCCAACTTTCGCGGCCACCCCACCAGCTACGAGTATCACCATGGGCACGGCCAGACCAATCGCACAAGGGCAGCATATGGCCAGGACAGCGATCGCATACGTGAGCGCCACGATGGCAGCCTCGCTGCCAGATTGCTTGCGCACAGCTAGTCCGACAGCGAGCCAGGCAACAAAAGTAACTATGGCAATGGTGAGAACAATGGGGACGAACCAGCCGCAAACCTTGTCCACTGTTGCCTGCACCTTTGCGCGCGAAAAACGGGCGTCGTCGACCATCTCCGCTATGTCGCTGATAGTGTTCTCTCCGGGCAGACGATCCACCTCGACCATAAGTGTGCTCGGCCCATTGACTGTGCCTGCAATGACCTTGCTTCCAGGAGCCTTGATGACAGGACGAGACTCGCCTGTCATCATTGCCTCATCCACTTCGCTTTGACCAGATTGTACGGTTCCATCGGTCACGATAGGTGAATCGGGCAACACTTCAAAAACATCGCCGTACTGCAAAAGACGAATGTCCACGTCCTCTTTTCGGTCGTCAGAATGGATCAAAGTTGCGGTATTCTGCTGCAAGGAGCGAATGGAGATTGCTTCAATCGCCCGCTGGCGCGCGACAGCACTCACGAGCTGCCCTAGCATGATTAGGGTCACAAGGAGGGTGCTCGTCTCGAAGAATTCGCCTACGGATAGTGGGTGGTCGTTCATTTCGAAAGCGAAGGCAACGACGGAGTAGACATATGCGGTGGTGGTGCTCAGAACAATCAACAAATCCGTTTCTACCAGGCCTGAGAAAAACAGGCTCTTGAATGCGCTTAAGTAGACAGGTCCGGTTATTAGAATTTGGACGATGGTCGCGAGCGTGAATGACGCAATTGCATATTCCCGCGGATGCTGAGGCAGCGGCGCCCAGGCCATAATCAGAACAGGTACGGTGAGCGTGGCGGACGTGATCGTGCGCAACGCGAGGGTCCGAATATGCTTTATACCAGCGACGAGTGCAGGATCGCTCGGTTCTGGAGCCAACGAGGGGGAAAATGCCTTATAGTGGTCCATGATTTTGCGGGCTCCAGTTACACGAGGGTTGTATGCGACAACAGCTGAGCCTTTGTCGACGCGACCAGTGAACTCCACGCCTTCCGGCATAATCATTGCTACGAATGCATCAATCAAGGTGTGTTCCATAGCGAAGCGTAGCTCGCGTGTCGGCCCAGCGCTGATGGCCTCGACAGAAAAACCTGTACGCTTCTCCACAATTTGTAGCAGATCCTGCAAACTGATTATACCGTTTTCCAAATCGAACTCGGCACGGCAGAGAACAAGACTGGTCTTGACATTGTGGACGGCCGGGATACCACGAAGGACGCGGATGACTTTGTTCTCGCACCCAGTACACGTCATCCCCCTGATGGCAACGACGGCGTGCTCCTTGGGTCCACTGAGCCCCTTCTCCGCCGCGCTAACCCCCAAAATCCCAACGATCTCGGACAACTTATTGTCACAGTCGACCTCAGAAACATGTAAAGAACGGGGAGGATTGCGACGCCGGTCACAACAGGAATCAACCGAGACCCTGGATGCCGACGCGAATCGTTTGCCCTCGTAACATCTGGCAGTTCCACATTCAGACCCACAAGTTGCCGCTTTGTCGAGGGATGGACGGATAGAACGAGCGCAGTTGGCTTGTCCATCAGAGCAACAGCTGCTTTTACAGCAAGAGCTAACAGTAGGCGAGCGACTTCTCCCGGAAAGTAAGGACGAACGCGCCGAAGAGGAAAGTCGGGAAGATGAGCGGGCTTGATGCGAGTGTCCGGTAGTACAGCAGGACTTTAGGCCGTGAGCAAGCATCGCCTTGCAAATGCATCCAAAGGCAGTCAAAGTATCCTGATAACGCTTGCGCGCGAACGACAAGTGCAGACCGCAGGCTTCGGAAGGAAGACTTGAAGGATCAATGACAGTGTCACTGCGGCTGGTGAATCGCCTCCGAAGACCGATGTGGCCACAGGCATCACCCTTTTCATGAAAATGGGTAGCGGGAGATATCACTGTAACACTCTCGATAGCGTTCTGTTCTGAGTCCGAGGTTTTCTTATCGGCTGACTCTTAAATGCGAGTTAGCCTATTCTCTAAGTATGTACATGGGATCATACCGTTACTGCCCCTTGAAGCATCATCGGATTCTGCGAAACAGGTAGTGCAGTCCGAATGTATATTGATATGATCCTGCAGCTCGGCCTCAGTACCTTGATGATCATGAATATGCCCAGCATCGTTAGCACATATGGCTCTGGCTAATTGCTCCAAACAAGTGTCTACGCAATTCGCGCCTCAGCGAATCATAGACGACCTAGAATCTAATAATTGGGACTTACCGTCGCATTTACAGTCGGTATCATCGCAGCAAGAGTCGCTACGATCTTTCCCATCAATTTGCTCTTTGTCATTATCAGGATGTATAGCTCCTTCTATGGCTACTTTGAGAGCACCTGTTCGCTCACGATCCATGCGATACTGAGAGTTCGTAGTGTCAACTGTTGCAAGTAACGAGGTTGTGAGAAGTGAAAGCGCGAGGCTGGAAAACGCCGACACGAGCTCGAAGATACTGGCTGGGGCCGGGATTCCGCGCCGCCAATCGCACCCGTATCCTTCCGTATAGTCCCCAGCACCCAGCAATCGCCGCCCAGACTTGTCAGCGTCGCTATCGTTGCGCGGTGCGGACGGCCTACGCACATGAACACGAAGCTACCTGGACGACCATAGTCACGGTACCCTGTTGCGTGCGAGCAGCCAAATGGGATACGAGGCACCATCGTCGACGATGTTGAGATCCAGGCTGTTGGGCAGGGTGCATTAAAAATTCTAAAATTCATAGAGGAGTAAGACAAGGCAAGAGTCAAGGAAGAGGTTGTGTCTGCCAAAACCACACAGTTCGTGAGCGACCTGTGCGGTACCCTCCCGTGCTACTGGTGCGGTACTCGACATGTCGGGAAACCTGATTGGTCCGGTGCGCTTCCCGCCGCTCGCATCGTAGTGCGCCTGATCTCCTGTCTCTCCGTATATCGCAACTCGTCTTATTCTGCAATCCAGACATGCTTATGTTTTCCACTTCATCAGAAGAATTACTCATGGCTTCAATTGTCCTCTGGATTATGTATTTACTGTCACGGCCTGCAGCGAACTCAGGTCCATCTTATCGGGTGGCAATTATTCACGACCTTGGCACGGCTTGGTCGATTCTATCATGGATTTCCCTCGCATAAAGATGCCGGCGGGGATTGAGTACTGAGTGTCCACTGGTATTGGCATGATAGCTCCCTATGGATCGTGATTATTTCCTGCTCAACCAAAGGGTATCCGAGCACATGAGCCGGATGACTCGGCCGAAGATTTCACAATATGTGTCATACTGAACTCGTCCCCGGTCGCCCGTGATGCTCTGTGTGGCAGTAGAGCACTTATGTGCCTTTTCTTCGTTTACAAGTAAGCTGCAGCATTAGTTATGTCGGTCCACACGCCCATCACGGTGCTTATGTTTTCGCCAAGCGTAGATCTCATGCAATGTCTGGATTGTGATAATCGGTATCAAGCCGGCCCCAGTTACATCTGGCCAGGGAATGGGTGCTTTTACTGCGTAACCACGTCTGACTTTCTGTCCCGCCAGCCCAGCTCACTTTAGCTCATCTCACGCTCTTCCAGCAACCAGGTACACTAGTACTCGCTCCCACTGGTTCGCTTTCAGCAGTGACGATCGCGCCACTCAGTCTCACCATGGCAATCGTCCTAACCGCATCACTATGTCTCATGGGCTTATGAGCAACCGCTCGACTTACCGCAGTCCTCAGCTTCCCTGGGACTGCGGATTGCCAGCGTGGAGGCTTTAGAACCACCAGCTCTCGTTGCGCGACAGTTCGGAATGTTGTAAGCCCCGGGCTTGTCGACCATCGTAACATCTACGCACCCCCACTGACTTGAATCAATCAACTCTTCCCCAGATCCTCATCCGCGCATACCCCTGGCGTCTGGCACTTGACGTCGGTATGTACCCCATGCATGTAGAGCAAGGTCTGTCGCATCGGCCAAGCTTCCAGCACCGCAGCCTGAGAACGAGTGTTCCCGCGTGCCCTCTCCAGCGCTCGATACTCAGTGCCGGCCGAGACATTGGATGAACATGGCTGCAATAACAGTATGCAGGGGAACGAATGACATCGAACAGGTTGGCTTGTGGGATGTTGTGCGTGGTCTACCAATCTTAGTTCTGCTTTCATGCAACTGGTGAACCATCATCTCCGCCTCTTCGCCTAGACTTCTCTTCGGTTCGGACGGAGCTCAATGGCCTGAAGCACCTGCAAAAGGACACAGCTCTCCTCTGTTCATCTCCAGCTGGGAAATCGTACGGTACAGCATCTGATGAATGTCGCACAGACGAGCGTTAGTTGGCAAGCCTCAGGTCAAACAGCGTCTCCATCCCCACTGCGCGTATGCACCGCCGTGCATGTGGCGATATCTCGAAACGCGTTCCTCCGCTTCGTAGCCCTTTTGTTCTATTCCATCCCACGCAGGGCGCCCATGGCGCAAGTTCCGTGATTAGGTCGGGTACAGAATGCGTAGCTGTGCATCCTGCTCTCATCCGTGCAATCCACACCCACCTTGAGCGCTGGGCTAGCTCCCGCGTGTTCCCACTCCCCGACACCCTCCATGCCACGCCGCACAAGGTTCCGGAACCTGGCGCTCTGTCAGCCTTTCTATCCCATGCCCCGGCGTCTCGCAACTGCTTCCCGCTCGAGTCGCCGCGCAGCAGCGCCTAACCCAAACTCTGCTCTCTTCCGCATTCTCATGGTCGCGCACGAACAGACCGCACGCTGTCCGAAAGCCCACGGACGTTCTCACCTCCAGCACGATTGCTCGCCGTTGCCGCGGCACCGATGCGCTTCGCTGTTCAACCTTGAGCTTTATGATGCCCGTCGCCCTGCATCCCCTTGTTCCGACGAGCGTGAGGCTTCAGTCACGAGTGCGTATCCACATTCCAGTATTCCCAGTTCCATGCCCGGTCTCCCGCCGCATTCAGGAGTCCATCGCGACTAGAGCCTCACCCCTCACAGCTGATGTCCCTGACAGTCCGTACGTCTTGTCATCGCTGGGAGAAAGATGTGGTCGGGGCTGGGTCAGCCTGTGTCTGGATTGTGTTGGGATTGTGGTTCGCGCGAGAGACCAGCGCACTGAATATGGCCAGGCGGTGCGGGATCGGTTTTGAGACTGATACTCTGATACACTGTCAGTGAGTTCATCTCCTGCCTGTCGCCCAGCACCGTGGGATGTGTTTCCTAGGATGTCCACTTTCGTCCAGTTGCGGTGCGGATGCGTGTCCTTGGTTTTCAAGACACTAGTTCGCCACCACAGCCAGTACGATGGATTGTGCCCGCAGGATATGATACCCGCCGTTCCTGATAGCAATCATAGTCTTTCGTGGGACATTTCTCATGCAAAATTTATTCATCACTTATTCATCCCCGTCGGGCGCCCATAAGTCGTGCCAAAGGCGGCGAGTCACCGCCTCTTCTCATCCCTCGACGTAAGAAATGATGCATAGTCGCCGTGAAAACCTCCATGCCGCTTCCCAGGGAGCTCGCGATTTGAACATTGCAGAAGAGCAGAAGGTGACGTCTGCGAGCTTAGTTGACTATTATTGGGATCGAAAGTGGATACGCATGCGAGAGTGTCCGTTAATTGTGAACGAAGTCAGATATCGAGGGTTCTCTAACGCTATTACACCACCGAGGACAGCCGACGTCTCCACTGTGCGAACGGCGAAGCACATGCGAATGCACTCCGTGCAACCCGTCCGACTCTGCCTTCTCATCTTATGCCAGGAAACGTCGATATCCCCAATAATTTTTCGAACTGATGCGAGTCCCCGGAGCGCTGAAAATTTACAGTTATCTCATACGTGCAGACGCTGAGCTAGTGACTGGAGGCGCCACACCGCAGACCCACATAACAGGTGCAGTCACCTGGACATGGGCAACGCGGTGAGTGCAGCAGACTGCATGTATACGGTGTCGGACCGCCGCGCGAGCTGCCCCGGGCCAGTAAGACCCGTGTGCAACTCCGAGTTCTGAAATTGGATGTGTGAGCGCCACCCTCGCTCTGACAAAGAACAGTTACAAGCGCATCGGATGGTGTGCATTTTCGGTGCAAGTACAACGTCTGCCCAGGGTCGTGGCGACGTTGCATTATTTGCTGGACGAAAGCCTGGCTCAAGGTGTCCAGATGCAACTGCGATCGTGGCAAATTCAGTGTACACCGCGACCGCGAGTGAAGTTGTACCTGATCCATATTATATCGCCGTGTTCGGCCGACGACCAGCGAGATCAGATTGCATGCGTTCAGCACACAACCTTTACGAGGTGCAATCAGCGAGTATATGACTTTGAATCTGCGAGCACAGTCGCCTTGGCTTATGCGTTGCTTCCGGTCGACTCGGAGGCCCGTTCTGCAAGCGGAATGCCGCCATTCTCACACATGGGGGCTTCCCAGAGCTAATGAGGGGCACGCGGCGAGTTATTTGAAGCTTAAAACTCACCGTGATACTATTCCAACGGTCCATGGACTGGAAAGGGATGCCGGATAATCAAGAGTGGCGTTCATGAATGTCGTGCGACTTCAGACACGTTGTAATCTTTCCAAATTGAATAAGCTCCAGCCAAGACTCCTTGAGATGCGCCCCAACCACGTTTGACAACTATGTAATGACTTGTCCAGCCGACCTGGCTCGTCAAGACTTCAGGCTTCAGCTGGAGCGAGCGTTATACCGGATCTAATGCAACGAAGAAAGAATACGAACGATGATGACAAATATACTAAAAGTTACTCGTCTGAACGCCGAGTCCGCCCTCAACGTCTGTTGTAGCTTGTAGATCCTATCTTTAGAAGTTTAGCGTGGTACCGCCGCCCGCGTCCGCGGTAAACAGGTTAGGGCTTTCTACCAGCCTGAGAGAGGCGCTATACCGGACATCCGTTCCGAAAGGAGCTGGCGCACCGGCACAAGCTACAAATATCATTTTGCCCATAGCACGCCTACATAACCGCCGAAGGACGTCAGGCAACTAGTGAAATGAAGATTCAATGAAAGGTCAAAATGCACCGGGCGGCATAATGCAAGGACACGATGACTCCACCAGTCGCGTCGGCATCCAATCGATTCGAATCGAATCGATGGACGAAAGCCACGAGACGAACAAGCACTGTATGCACGCCACTCGATCGAAGAGCGATTCGTCCTAAAAAATCGTGCACTGCGGAGCGCCGTCGCAGGCTCCGACGTGTGATCAACGCGCGGGAGAAACCTCCTTTGAGGAGAGCGAGAGTATGCGGCCCGAGTACCGTCTTTCGAGACCTTGTAGGATTTTTCTCTCGAGTGGAACTTGTCGGGCTGGAGTTGCCGGGCCAGAGCTCAGGGCAGAGGTTGAGAGATTCGGGAATATCGCCGTGTATGCTGTGAGTGGGAATGCATCGTTATAATCATGATGAACAGGGCTGGGATTTCGCAAACATGACTGGATATCTACACGTAACGGGATTCAGATGATATCTGAGCTGATGAACTGCTAACACTCACGGGCGGTGCTCTTCCAGGTACGAACCGGTCGGGTCTGAGGTCCCCGCGAACCGGTATGGATGCGAAACCTGTCCAGCGCAACTTTGCGAACTGGTCGCGGGTGACGCATCTGCGACGTCAGGATGATCCCACGCGCTCATCGCAGAGCCTATGAATGTACCTCACGGCGCGATATGACGGTGGGTGACGAAAGGCCTACAGACGACGATCATGAAGACGGTGAGAACGATAGCTGCGATAAGCGGGGGTAGAGCCATCTGCGCGCACAGCGAGTGGAAACAGTCAGGCCTAGTGCCAGAGGCGCGCTCTGCGTGCGCAACACACGAACCGCAGACGACCCGGAGGGTGGAAAAAAAGAGGACCAAAATAAAACCAGAAGAGCCGAAGCCAGGAGAGAATATTCGCGAAGATATTCATCGGTAGCTGAGACCTTCCGGTCCGTATCCGCGTCGAGAACCATGGACCTTGATATCGCATTTGAAGGACTTGTGAAGACGAGTCGAAGGGCCAGGTGGGAGCCCACAGTTGGCCCAAGCGGCTTGGGAGGCCACAATCACCTTGAACGGATGTCCGAGCTCAGGAGCGGTGCCGCCAGGCGTTCGTTCCATTCAACCACAAGAGGGTGTCTGCTCGCACGCCTCGGCGCCGTTGACGAAGCACAGCCGGCACAAGACACATCGCGGAAAGTGAGGTGGGCGGGAGAGTGCAGGAGGGAGTGGCTGTCCCAAGCGTGGTGGGAGGCAGCACATGCCACCGTCGGGTCCAAATGAGCAGCGCTGGCGCCGCCTCTGCGAGCGTTTGTGGTCTCTAGACGCGCTCCTTCACAGGATCTTCATGTGCTCCTGCTCGCGGGACAGCGAGTGCGCCCTCTTCGCTGCTGATCACCGTTGTGAAGACGCGTCCTCCGCTCGCACGCTCGACATCTACCTGCTTCGTCTTCCATGGCATGGCCGCAGAGAACCACGGGCAGCCGAGAGTCGACGCGCGAATAAAGTAATATAATTTCGGTACTATTACAGACAGGTTCTGCGGTATACGGAGGTAATAAGCTCGACGCATTATAGCGGACAAGTAGACGATACAGTGTGGTAGGGACCAGGAATACGGCGTGGTACAGTAGCATTATGCGCATCTGCGCATATCCAGTCGTAGTAAGAGTCTCGAGCCATGCAGAGACCCACCCCAATGCATAGGTATAGAGGTAGTGGGTGTTCAAGAACAATGCGGCGGTCACGCCTCCAAGCCGTATTCA